TATATATAATTGATCAGCTTTCTTGTTTAAATTATATTTCGTATTTTTAAATAAACTTATGAAAAAATTAATTTTCATTTAATCATTAAATGAAAAATATTATCAAATCATCGTATCTAACATAAGAATTACGATATTATTAGCATTCTCTCATTTTCTTTTTCTCCATCAGCTATATTATAATCTTTCTTCTATCATCATCATTCTCACGTACATTACATTAGATTTAACGATCGTTCAACACCTGGCACTACCTTTTCCCAATAATCTAACTTCATCGTTGAAGTAAGAATTATCGACAATATTAGATATCGTGACTTATATGCATAATCAAGAATGATTAAATCAAATAATCGTCCAATTAAAAGAGAGACCATAAGATTGAATCGATACGAACACACAAAAAATATCACTTTGCAGTTAATTCAAGAAATAAATAATGCATAAATCTTTGCAAGATAAATAATAATTATTGATTATATATTTTTTTTATTTTGTTGTCTTTTCTTTGCTTTTTTTTTCTTTTCTTTTTTCTGGCCTTCGTTTGCACACCAATCTCGATTAACATTTTTTCGATTAAAAATCCATTAAGGTCGAGTTACACGATAGATATACCGATATAATGCTATCAAGACCTTCAATTGAATTGCCATTTGAAACGACATTGTAATTCTTATGGATCCCACTTTTTTTTCCATATTTTTTCATAAATGGAGTAAAAGACGTACTATTATCTTATTGTCTGATCATCTCTACTGTTTTTATTATACGATCTAATCGATTCGAACAAATGTTTTATTTGTAATTTTCTTTTATTCATCCACACACACACACACACACACACACACACACACACACATTTTCTCTTTTTTTTTTAATATTAATACAAACAAATTTAGCAAGCGAGATGTTACATTGAATTAATAATTATTTTCATTTAAAAATCAATTAATCGCTTAAGTAATTGTTTTCTTTTAAAGAATCTACTATTATTAAAAGTAATCAAGTTGGAAGATGAAAAAAAGTAGACGTACTTTGAGAATACTCAACCGTGTATCTGTGTGTGTGTTTTATAAAACGCACACAAAATTTTTCTTTTAATTTTCTTAACGAGATCAAAACATGAGATAGAAAATTGAATTTCAAAATTCAATAGCAAATCATTTAAAAATTCAATTCCATTTTTACAACATTAAAACCTATACATTTATTAATTTATTGTATATATTCTATTAAACGTTAAATTATAATTGTTAAATAATTAAATAACGATAGTTGAATTTAATTAGAATTTTTTGTTTAAAAAAAGAGAAAAGAAAAAGAGGAAAACCTGGAAAGTAATCTGTTTGAAAAATAAAAAGAAAACAGATACTTTTTCTACGAACTCTTATATAAGTGTGTGTGTGTGTGTGTTTTACAAACATACTCAAGCCTCCAAACGTTTTCGGATCGAGAAAAAGAAAAATAAGAAAGAAATGGAGGAAAAAGAAGTTGAGTAGAAATGTCGAAAAACATTCACCTCGTTACTTCAGTTCGCTTATTTCAGGTTCGCGCGCAAACATACGCGAATGTAATTTCAAAATGGACTTATTACATGAAAGAAAGAGATAGATAAAGATAGATATTAAATTCGATTTGGAAAATTACATTTGAGTAGTTTTTTTATCAATAATATGAAAAACATAAGGGGAGTTCTATCGTAAAGCTGAATTTTATTTACTGATCAAATTTCATTCCATTATTGTTTTTTTTTTTTTTTTTATTTAGTTCTAACATTTACCCAAAAGCTTATAATAAATTTTTACACGTGTTATATTTCGAGTATTATTTTTATTATCGAATGAATAAAAATTTAATTAAAACGGATTAAATTTTCATTAAGAATAAATTCCTTTCTTTTTTCATTTTTTTTTTTTTTTAATGTTTGTCAAGAATCAAATACACTTCTCACACATATTATTTTTTAATTACAATAAATTGAATTCCAATCACGAAAATATAATTTATAAATATATTTATTTAAAATTTTATTAAATATTTCAAAGAAGAAAGAGAAAAAACACTTCATGCATTTTTTAATATATTAACAAAAAAAAGAAATAAAAACTTCGTTAGTTTTTGAATATATTAAATAAATATTAATAAAGAACAAGTTTATATAATCTTATATAAGTGTTGAATTATTTTCTATAATTTCTATTAAAAATGTAAATATTTAATCATACATATTATTCATATTCTGTTTAGCATCAAATTAGAAATTCTAATGTATACTTTAATAACGACAAAAGAAAAAAAAAAGAGAATAAATTTATATTTATATCTTCTTTTTAAATTATGATAATAAATTATAATAAATAATTTTTCTAATCGTTATCTCTCGTCTTTCAATATTACCATAGTAACCACCTATGACGCATTAATATCAAATAACTCTATCAATCTAAAAAGATTCATCTCAAACATATGTTTTAATCAAATAAAATCTAATTAAACAAAGATTCAATCAACATACCTCAGAAAAATCACTATTCCCATGAAGATTTTAGTACAGTTATCCTTGTATGTAAGATGATTCATACATAATTCTTCCTTTAGAAGATGAGTCCTTTTTTTCATCACTTGTATCTCTCACTTTGTTATTATTTTCTTTTCTTTTACTTTTTATTTTTTTATTTTATTCACACAAAAATCACAATATACGAAACATAGAAAAGAAAAAATAATCAAAATTTCACATGTATATACATATATGTGTGTGTGTGTAAAAAAAAGGGAAGGTTTGTCAAGCTTGAAAAAGAAAAAAAGGGTAGGAAAGGAGTTAGTTGATAGGCTGATAAGATTTCTCAGCATGAGACGAGCAAACGAAGTGCTCCTCTCAGATAAGAAACTTCTTCTTTGTTCCGAAGAAGATAGAAATAAGATTGATAGATAAATAGATAAAAAGAAAAAACGAGAGGAAAGGAAGGAAAAAAAGAAAGAAAGGGATAAAAAAAGAGTATAGAAAGGATCGAGAGGAAAAATAATCCACGAATAGATCTTTGGCTGATACCCAAGTGCACAACTGCCACAAGTGGTTGCGTCCTGCGTCTCCTGTCTTTTTCCCTTTTATGCTTATGTGTGCGTGTGTATACGTTTTAATTGTTTTTTTTTTTATTTATTTCTATTTTTTTTTTTTAATTTTTTTTCTTTAATAATGAAAATACGACACGTTTGTTTATTACGCGTTTAACTTTCTTTTTTTCACGAGATAAGTGATATCAAACACCTTGTACAATAGGAACGTGTAAATCTACGAACGAATCAACGCACATACATACATCACTAACACACTCGTAAACGCGATCGAATTATCGAAAAAAGAAAAAAAAAGAAAGAAGAAGAAAAGAAAGAACAAATCTGAACGTTTAATGTGAACTTATTTAGTCTTTATAAGGAATGGTACCACCCACACCCATCTTCCAAGTTTTTCTAATGAAAAATCGAAACAATGTACGTTGGAATACACTAAAAGGAAATAGACACACACACACACACCAATAACAAAACAATCAAATAAAATATAATAATATTATTATTAATCCACTACGTTTTATGACGAATTGTTTTACACAACTTTATTTTATTTTTGTATTTTCTTTTTTTTTTAAGAGATTATCGAGAGATGATTAAAATAAACGTTAGATTTGAAGTTAGATATTATCACAACGTGTTTTAGGTAGGACGATAGGGGCGCTCGAACGTCAACGTGCACTCCTGGATTACTCGAATCGAACTCGTTGAGGGTCGGAATGCTTCTAGCCTATATCGTCCTAGATCCTGTCTCTCTTTCCCTCTTTCCCTCTCTCTCGCTTTTTCAATCTTTCCTTTCTCTCGTTTTATTTCTCTTTCACTTTGACACTTTATAACGAAACACTTGTCATTTTTTTTCGAATAGAACAGATATCCTCGCACTAATTTGATCACTTCATTTTAAATCGTCCTTATTCATTTGTAATCCTTGCAATTTTAATATGATATTGAAATTCTTCTATCCTTTACTATCTTTTTTTCTTTATATGTTGAAGCTTGAATCGACACAGGTAGGAGGACAACCTCGAAACGACTACGTTTATACTCTTTCTCTTTCTTACCCCCTTCTCTATCTTTCCCTCTCTTTCTCTCTCTTTCTCTCTTTTTCACTGAGGAAGATACACACCCTCGTAAAGCAACGTGTCCGCGACGACGCGAAAACGGCGAACACGCACGCTCGTCCTTTCTTATTAAGAGTGAGAAAGATAGAATGATATATATGTGCACACACACATACACACATACATATACACACGTTTGACTGTCATAAACATATATATACATACATTCTTTCTCTCTCTCTCTCTCTCTCTCTTTTTTTCTCTAAGTTCAATCTTTTTATTTGATGTCAATTTATTCATCTATTAATCTATCATTTATCTATATTCATTTATCTGTCAATTTTTTTTTCTCTTTCTATTGCTATCTTTTTCTCAAAGGGAAGTTTCCTTATATTTTTGTATTCCTTTCAGCTGTTTCTCTCTTTGTGCAGGCCTATCGACTAGCCTGCACCCACTGCGATTACTCTCGAACTAAGAGTTGTAATAGAACGCCTGCGTTCTCGTCAACCGCCAACCACCAACCCCTAAACGGTGTTCTTTCTATATACGCTTGCGTTAGATATTTACCAAAGTTTCTGATTCGTTCGACTTTATTTACCGCGAAATATTCGAATAATACGATTTGTCTTTTCAATTTAGAATAAAGAATCTTAATTAAATGCAAATGATGATTAAATATCGTTCGTGTTTGTTTGTTTTCTTTGTATCTTTTTCAATAAAAACATTTCAACGTTTATTTTTCAAATATCGTTAAGTATTTCATAATAATAATTGGAATTTTATCTTTGTATATAAATTAAATTAATAATCGAATATTAAAACTCTAGGATTGGGGTTGAACACGCGACCTATTCGTTTATCGTTAATTTTGGATTTCTTTTCTTTTGTTTGTTTGTTCATTTTTTGTTTAAATATGTAAATTAAACTTACCAGTCTGAGTGCTGCTGTCGAAAAAAGTACTGGAAGTTTCGACGGTCATTGTGGCAAACGTTCCATCGGTAATTTGTGCAGAACTGTCTCTCCTTCCTCGATATCTTTGAACCTAATTTATGAAAAAAGTAAAAGAAAAAAAAAGAAAAAGAAGATAAAGAACAAGAAAAAGTAATTCGATCGACATTAGATTATGAAGTAATGAAAAAGAACAGTTACTTGGTAAAGTTGACCCACCGTGTCCTCATTTTGAGAACTTTGTCTACGAAAATTTCGACATCTGATCATTTCTTCCGTCGTACTTTGTCGTCTGAATCCACGTGCTATTAAAATTTCTTCGGTTGTGGTAGATTGTCTTCGCATTGTTTGAGAATGTTGAAGTGGTGCACGTGCGCAGGGACTTGGATCTCTCGATGAACAGGACGATCCACTCGGTGATCTATTTAATCGATTATCGATTTTAATACAAAAAAAAAATATTTTTCCAAAGCACTGATTATGAATGAATAAATAATTTAATTTCTTCTTATTTTTAATTTTTATATTTTAAAAATTGAAAAAATATTTTAGTAAACACAAAACGATTAAATACCTTTGAGGTTGAGCATAAGAATTTGACTGTCTTCTCAATTGTGCTTTTTTCTGTCTACTTGGACTGATATCCCTTTTATCGACAGATCTATCAGGACTTAAGTGAGTTTTTGAATCACGACGTCTTGGATAAGACGCTGAATCTGGACTAAGCGAATCCCTACGTGCTTTTCTTCCTAATAAATAAAAAATATAATACAATCAATGAAATATATTTTTTATTGAATAATTAATCATGACAAAGACAAGTTTACATGAATAATTAAGTTGTACCTCCGTCATCTGGATCGGGTGATAAGGTTGGTTGGCTACCACGTCGTCCAACAGGAGGTACGGATTCGTCTATTGCCGCTGCCTGCCGCGTTAATTTTGATAATTTGTTCGGTGACGTTTCTTTTCCTTTGTAATAACACTGTAAAATTAAAATTACGAGAATTTATATTTAATTTATGAAACAAGAAAACGAAACAAATTATAAATTTTTATTAATTCGATGTTTATTTAATTTTGTTTATAGGAATAATTTATTTAAATAATTAAAATTTATACGCCTGACGGTATGCAATACTCCAAACACAGTTGATAATGCTGCTTGCGAGCGCCAACTATTGGTTAAAAAATATTTTTATCCCCCTGTGATATGCAACCTTTTATACACGTGAGTAATAAAAGTGCCTTGCAAACGGGTGATATTAAAAAAGTTTTTTTTACCGACAAGTGACATTTGCAATCCGACATTACCGACAGTGCGTAAAGAAGTTTTTAAAGAAAAGAAAATTTTTGTTTAAACTTTTGTTTTTTGTTTTAATTAATAAAATTTTGTTTTAACTTTTTTTGTTTAAAATATCAAAACAAATAAATAAACATCATTTAATATAATTTGTAGATATTTAAATACATACTTGGGTGGTGGAATCTCTTCGAGTAGCAACTAAAGGATGTGCTGCACTGACACCGGGTGATCCAACTGGACTAGAACTACCAGTAGTCGAAGTACCAGGAAGTGGAAGACTACTTCCAGCTACTGGTGAAACACTCGGTGGTGTAACAGAAGACATTATGATTGCTGGTGTATTTACTGATGGTTCTAACGAAAGAATTTTTCCTTCTGGCGATGATCTTGCATTAACTGTCAATGAACTCGACATAGACGTTCCTGTAGTTACGCTGAACGTTTTAGTTTCCGTTGATGTATTCGTCATAACTTTACCATCGATGGTCATGCCAGTTGTAGTTGGTGTTGGTGCTCTTGTTTCCGTCGATAGCATTGGTGTTTGACTTTTTGATTCAAAACTGCTCGATCTTTCACTTTTGTCTGTTGAATTTCTACGCGTATCTGTGTGATCTCTAAAAAAAATAGAAAAAAATTATATCCAATGTTAGAATTTAAAAAATAGTACAAAATTTGATAGGACTTATTGAAAAAAAATTTGTATAATTGCTTAATATATTTGAGATAATTGAAATAATATTATATTTTATCTTATTGCATTGTGACATATTCGTAATATCACGAATTACAAACCTAGCAATATTGCTGGCACCACTGTCGGTGCTAGAAGCGCTCGGTCTTTGATCATTGATGTAATATTTAGTAGGCGTTATGGTGACACCTTCGACAGATTGCTGCGATTGTTGAGATTGTCTACGCCTGTGATGACGACAACTGTGCTTTCGCTCTCCTGAAATTGGAGCTCCGGCTACAACCGAATCCCTTCTTGACCTTGCGCTTTCCCCTGACCCTAAAAAAAATGAAACAATGTTATACATTTTCTAAATAATAATCTTTAACAATGTAATATCGTATTTTATTTTATTTCTTCATTAAAATTCGAAGATATTTCTTTTTTTTACTAAGTATACATTATATAAATAAAATAAATCAATCATTATACCTCGTCTCGGTGTTGGTGAGATTACAGTTGGTGGTTGTTGTGGTTGGACATCTTTTTTACTCCAAAATTTAGCTAAATCACTTTTAAAATCACTGATAGTCGAATCCTTTCTTGATTTCGTCGATGCTTGACTCCTGATACCACTGTCTTCCGAATTTTCACGTTTTTTTCTTAAACTTGCCAGGTGACTCGTATCCGATGTTGCTTGTCTCGGCCATGGTAATGATTTAGCAATATCAGCCAATGTTTCTCTACGATAAAGTTTACTGGCACGTCCACTCTTTCCACCTGTTCCTCCACCACCCCATTCTCTTATAATATCCGTCAATTGAGCCAAACTCGATCTTCTGCGTCGTGGATTCGTTGGCGAGGATTCTTGAATCTCGTTTGGTGGTGAGATTGATGTTATTTGTGTTGCCGAATCTCTTCTTCCTGTACCTATAAATATTTATTAATATTTTTTCAATATAATTATTTCAATGTTCTTTTATCTTATTCTTTTTCTAATAATTTTTAATTTTATATTTTTATATAATAATATATAAATATATATATATTAATATTTAATATTTGTATTAAAAAATATATTTATTTAAAAAAAAATTTATTATTATATAAAATATATCTTTTAATATAAATATTATATATTATATATATTATATATTATTGTATTTATAATTTTTAATTATATTTCATCCTAATATTTTAATAATTTAAAAGTTCTTTAAATTTATTTTTAAGGAAATAAATTTATTTTAAAAAATATTTGTTAACAATTTTTAAATCTTATATTTGTGAATAATAATACTTTTATATTTGATAATACGAGTGTTAATTATTTTTAAATCAAAATTTGTGTATATGTTTTTTTGGGTTTTTTCAAAATTTGTGTATATGTTAAACTTTACCTAATCTTTGTTTCAAAGTTGTTTCCTCCACCTGTTCTCGCATAAGATCGTCCCAACCATTTCCTCCTTGCCATATTAATCCGACCTGATGACTCAGAATCGGCAGATTACACACGAAGCAGATCGCTGTCATGGTCCTGAAAAATGGAAAATAAAAACGCGAGCTCGGCTTAAGCCGACATAGACGATCATACGAATATCCTTTTTTCTTTTTTTTTTCTTCTTTCTCTTCTTCTTCTATTTCTTTTAATTATTCTAATTAATAGTAACAAAGTACGAACGAAAGATAAGAGAAGTGCAATTTACCAACGATCAAATATTACGTGTAAAACAGGCCATGCAAAAAACGAATTGCACAAATTTATCGAAAACGTGGCTTTTCTTTCATATTTTTTTTATATTTTTCGTGATAAAACAAACTATATTAATAAAGTAATTATTTTTTACATCGTCGATATTAATTGATAATCAACGAGAAACGTTTGATCATTATTATTAATTGTTTTAAACATTAGTACAACGTGTCTCGTTCTTTTCATTAAAAAAAAATAAAAACCACGTTTATATTAATATTATTGAAAAGTTATTTAAACAATTTCAACACAAGAAATATTTCAAACTCATAGCAAACGATTTTAAAGTATAACGATACTTTTAAAACTATAATATACAGGGTGTTTCACAATATGTTGACAAAATTTACAGAATGATTTTGATACATTCAAATAAGAAAAAGAAAATTATGAACATATTACATGATTTTGTGTTAATTGACAGTATAAGATAAAATATATTACTCGTAAATAATTGAAACAAACAAAGAGTAAATAATTTTATATGAATTATTGGAAGACAAAAACAACAGTTTATAATTCAAAAACAAGATTCATATTAAGGGTATTATTGTAGGAATTATTTTAATCCTATTTTAGAGTATTCAAATCACTCTTCAATTTATACTCACATATTTTGAAACAACTTGTACTTATAAATATATATAAAAACTAGAAATATAAAATAACACAATTTGTAGATTATAAAATTCGTGAGACGAATATCATTCCAAAAAGCATGGATAAAAGCAGGTAACAAACTCGATCAATATTAATATGAACATTAAATATGAATAATATACACGTACACGCATATATACATATTACAATTATATAAAATATGTATTAATATAATACATATACGTGTATGTGTGAATATGAGTGCAAAATCACAACCAACAGAACCATAATGTATAATACAATGTCGTATTTCAGCGTATAGAATTATTAAAACTTGATATTTTGTAAAAATTAGTAATTTTGTTAAATTTTTTTGTTTATAAAAGGCATATATCTAATTAGTTGTTTCGACCTGTAATGTCGAAGTCTCGGGCTCTGCAACGACATCGCATGATAAGGATCTGCTCGACCTGGAAAAGATACACAGACACACAAAGATATTTTTTTTGTTTTAAACGATAAAAATGAAATCCTTTCGTAGGATGAATTTTAATGTTGAAGTACAGGATCATCGTAATCTCAGATGCAGTATCCTGGAAAAGCGTTCTGTGACTTATTTCCTTTTGTTTTTTTTAAAAAAAAGGTAAATGATGTTAAATATTGAGAGCACGATCCTGTGTTTTACAAAATTCATTTTGTCAGTAAAAGAAAACAATATTAAGTTAGATCAATTTGATGATTACAAAGAAAAAACAATTTATTTTTGGTGAATTGAACAGTTTTATTTCTTTGATAGAAATGATTTTGTTATTTAAATAAAAATTAGTTAATACCAAAAAGAAAATGGTTTTTATATTAACTTAAAAAAATAATGTAATAAATAAGCACCCCTTTCCCTGACATCAGGCAACCATTTATACTCGAATAAAAACAAATTCGTATCAATTTAATTGACACAATATTTTTAATTTAAAAATTTAAATTTAAATCACTAAAATATATAAATATCATCGATCAATTTCAACAACGTATACAACGATTAAATTATATATATAAAAAAAATACTTTAATAAGAATAAAAAAACGAACGCCCGTTGAAAGGCAACCATTTATACGAGGATAAAAATAACTTCGTAGAATTTCAACGATTCTCAATTTGTATCTAGAAATTTGATTCGAAGCATTTATCAGTAATCACTTTCAGTGCGATATAAAAGGATAAACAAATCTAAATAAAAGAAAAGAAAAAGAAAGAAGTAGTATAATACCCTTGACAATCGTTTGTACAATGAATAAAAGATGAAAATATAAAACTAGGCGACGTCGAGTTGATAAACGAGTTTAAAAACAACTCGTTGTTAAAACGATCATTTCCGATAGAATTAATTTAAAAGTTGTAATATCCTGAGGACTCGGTTGTGATTGCGAAATCTTTAGAAGAAGAAGAACAAAAAAGGAAGGATATATATCATATAATATGGAAAGAAAATAATTAAATAGAAAAAAAAACATGTGTGCATATCACACAAGTAAAAAGTGAAACCTTCAAATAAACAAGTTTTGCCGATAATTTATTATATAATATTATTATAATATTATTTGTAATTTTAATTTGTAATTATTTATTTAATTATAAAAATGCGCGCCTGTTTGTATGCAACTCTCCTGACACACTTTGAAAATGTTGCTTGCGAGCGCTGTCTACTGGGACGGAATTTTTTTGCAGTCAAAACTGTTTATACACGTGTGTATGACGGGTTGCCTATCTTTCAGGCAGAAAAAATTTTCGTCCCGACAGATGGCGCTCGCAAACAGCATTTTCAAAGTGTGTCTGTAGGGTTGCATTCGTATAGGCGTCCATTTTCGTTTCCTTTCCCCACTACATCCCGGTTTCGTTTTCTCTCTACATCACCGTATTTAATTTTTTAAATCACACCCATTCTAAAAAAGTTTTCACTTCAAAAAAGTAGAAAAGCAAGAAATACTTATATGAGAAAACTAAAGAGTATGATGATAACGTGCCAGGAAGATGAAAAGAACGAGGAGGGATGGTATCATTTTTACAATAAATTGAAGGGCTCGTTTTTCTTCTCCAGTCCAACGAGTGGCTTAATAAAATCTGACCTCGAAAAAAAGTGTGGGAAAAAAAATATCTCATCCGAAATGGTCCCTTAAAAACTCGTCGTGTCGTCAAGGGTGAAACTCGTTCGATGTATGAGAAAGAAAAAAAGGAATGAAAGGAAACAAAGTAAAGCAAAGCAAAGTAAAGCAAAGCAAGAGAGAGAGAGAGAGAGAGAGAAGGTGTATATAAAATAAAAGAGAAAGAGAGAGAAAAAAGGGAATCGTTGAAGAGGAAATGTAGAGAAAAAACCAGCAAGGAAATCACCGTATGCTCGTACGTGCTAAATTAGAAAAGAAATCTCAGTTTAAATGTTAACATTTTCTCGTTAAAAAAGAAAATGACATAAAAAAAAGAAATTAGAAAAAATAACGAAAGAAATCTTATTAACGAAAGTAACGTCGAAATAAAATGTCACATATTTTATTTGAAAATTTAACACGAGAAACGAACGAACATTTTTACATATATTCGATGATTTAAATATCCTGGAAAAATTTTTACCAGTTTCTAGGTTTCCATCTTTTATATAATGTACAAAGGGTTGCTTATCGTTAGGGTTATTAAGTTTGTATGTTTTTTTTTTTTTTTCAATTATACACAGATGTTATTAATACATTAAATTATAAATACATAATTGATTGAATACATTTATTCATAATTAATAATAAATTAAATAAATTAATAATAATAAATATATTTATTTATTTATTTTAATTAATTTCTAATTTATTTTATAATTAAATTCATTTGTTTTATTAACTGTATTACTTTTTTCGTAGAAACGTAAATCATTGATTAAACTTCCTTGTTGAATAAACAAACAAAGAATAATCATATTATTTTATAAAAATATCTTTATACTTAAAGATAAAATAAAAAAAAAAAGAAACAACGAATGTTTCTTAATAAATAATAGAACAAAATAATGTATTGTAACACTGGTTTAAAAAAAGACAAAAAAATTATTCAAATAAATATTTTGAAATTTAACGAGTAAGCTTAAAAGAAATTTGTAAAAAGAAGGATGTATCGGCCCGTAAGGAGCTGCTCTTTTTCCTTTACAACTCCACTACGAAAAGAAAAGAAGAGAAAAAAAAGAAAAGTAAAGAACAGAAAGTACTTTTGTAGGAATGTTGATTCTTAGCGAACAAAAGTCAGCGAGGGGTTGCTTGCTTCTATCCCCAATAGCAACCATTTGGGACGAACTGATATCTTCTATCTCTATCTTTTTCTATCCTATCTGATTTTCCCTAGTTTCATGGGAGTAAAAAGAAAAAAAAAAGGAGAAAAGATAAGTGACGAACGGTGAAATCAAAATCTAAAACACACGTGGGGATTTCACCATCCCTTCCGTTCAAAATAATACTAATGTTGTTTTAAAAGAACAATTTATATTTTCCTGACATTTGAATTAGAAAAAAGAAAAAACAAACAAACAAAATTAGAAATAAAGGAAGAGAGAATAAATAAATAAAGTTACATAACAATTTTAAAATTCTAAATTTACGTGCATGTGAAAAACAAATTACAGTGTTGCATCGTATCGCGCAATATTTACATTTGTATAAAAAAAATGTTTCCCTTTTTTCCTTTTTTTTTCTTGGAATAGAAACGTAGCATTTTTTAAAATAATTATTTTCTTTTATCTAAAGTAAGCATCGATCAATCGATCTACCTCGAGAATTTTTGCGATAGTTTTACATGACTCGTTATCCCACAGAACCGATCGGGATTTGATTTATTATCCTTTTCGTGGTAGATTTATCGTGTTTCAATGACTTCATCTTTTCATTCCCTTCGTTTTTTTTTTATTTTTTTATTTTTTTTTTTTACTTCTTCTATCATTTTTCTCTTTCTACAAAATGAAACCTTTATCTTTTCTTCGGATTTGCGATTTTTAATAGAAAACTTTGATCAATCGTTCGACACGGTTAAACATAAAATGTTTTCAAGTAAAAAAAAAAAAAAAATAAATCAAATTAAAGAGAATAGAATCAAATAGAATGAATTTTACGTAAAATCTAGAAATAAAATTCATTTCATTTGAGATCACTGAAGGTTG